GCAGAATGCCTTCAACTTGTGCTTTGTGGATCAAACCTTTACTGAGTGACCTGGTCCGAGATTTGTCAACTCTGGGGGATCTTTTTCCATCTATTTCTTCCCTCTTTGGCCTCACACATGCACCTGTAGGTGCTTGAGCACCTGGTGAATGTTTCTTTAGAGGGCACCCCTCTATAATACAGGTCATTCCTCCATCTGACATTATCTGTCATCCACACTGTACAGACCTGGTCCCTACTGGACCACTTCAGTGGCCTCTGCAATACTTTCCCAAAGAAAGGCAGGAGGGGCCCTGGGCCTGGCAGTGAGGGCTGTCTGGAGTCCAACACCTAGGGTTTGAATCACAGCCTCACCCTCTGCCAGTGGTGTAACCTTGGGAAGCTGCTTAATCTGAGTGTTAAACGTCTTCTGCACAGATGGGATCAGTACTACAGAGCTATCCTCATGGGGTTGTTGGTAGGATAAGATGAAACCAGCCCTACTCCCCCCTCCTTTCCCTCCTCCTCCTCCTCCCCTCCTCTCTCTTAAACCTGCTGCCTAGTAAGATGCCCGTTTAACCCTCCACCCTTGTTCTCTAACACATTCTACCTGGTGAATCATGTTCTCTCTAATACAGGATTTGATGTCCTCTACATCCCCTTCTGTGGAGATCAGAGTAGGGAACAGAGGTGCAGGTTAGTCAAAGAACTTAGTATCTCACAGCAGAGCAGGAGCAGAGATCTAGATCCAATGCCAACCCCCAGGTTCTTGCTGTTTCATCCGAGCATGGAGAAATCTCTGTCTTGAGTTAGTCCATTCCCTTTAATACCCAGACTCACATGTAGGGGTGAATACACGTTGTGAGTTATGCGCTTACCGTAGGCATTTTCTTCATCTCTTACCATCTTCCATCTTCCCATGATTAACTGGAAGAGTCCCAAATACAATTAGTTCATTCATTCATTCATTCAATCGGTATAACTATCTACAATGTGTCAGGCAAATTCCAAAGGCCTGATGACATCACAATGAAAATGTCCTGATTCCTGCCCTCCACTGAGCATGAGCATTTAGGGAAGACACTGGAATAGCCTGACCTGGGGTTGGAATGATACTGTGAGAACACTTGATGAGCTTGGTTTTGTCTTTTCAGGGCCTCCAAATGCAAAAAGCAGAGGGAGATTATAACATTACTGTATGTTAATGAGTAAGCTTTAGCTGTTCATTTTTCCAGGTAATTCTATGCTAGTGACATAAGCTGTAAATATTACATTTTCCCAGGAGATTCAGTAGCTGGGGGAGACTTTGGAAAACCCTGAGAACACTAAAATTTGCTCAGTAACTTAGGGAACCACCTTAGGGTTGGCCTGGGAAACAAACAAGAAGAATATTGGAATTCTGTTTTTGGAAACTGGAAAACAGACTCATCTCCCAAACCGATCTGGAGAGCTTCTGCTCTCAGGAAACCAAATAATTTGGCTTGTCTTACTATGTCTAATTACGGTGAGAATGGGATGCGACCCTCTGACTCTTAATGTTCTTGCCCCCAAACCCTTGAGGCTTCTCAGAGTAAAGCAATTACACCAGTCAAACATCATTTAATACAATTAAACATCCTGTGGTCACGTTGGCCTGATCACACAAGCACACGGTATCTCCTTGGTCCTCTTCTGCAGCCTCATTTCCAACTAGGCCCCCACCCCAATGCACTACTTTACAAACAGCAGCTTTCAGGGCCTTTTCCAACCCACCTTGTGCTTTCCCTCCTATGGCCATTTGTCTCCTCTCTCATTTCTGCCTGAGTCCTGTCTGGGCTTCACCATCCATTTCAAATTCTACCTCGTCATGTCCACCTGGTTCCCACAGCTATCTGTGGTCTCCCCATTGGCACCACACACAAAGGAAATCAAAGGCAGAGGTTGGCTGAATAACGTGTCTTTGACCAAAGGACTCAGATGACAGGTTTGCCTAGAACTCAGTCCAAAGCTATTCATGTTTTTGCAGTAACTCTCCTGTCACTTCGCCAAAGTCTTCAGTAAAGTTCACCCCGTGGGAAAATAACATAATGTGATTAGTTATTTTGTGTGTGAAAACCAACCAACTCCCTTAATTGACACCAAAGTAGAAATGGAGAAACAGCCACAAAATTCAGAGCAAAGAACAAGAATTTAGCTAAAGCAAGAAGTTGTTGTCAAAGATGGAAAAGAGGAATTGTGCTACTGAAAATCCACAGAACTCTTGGGTAAGTCATTGGAATTTTCATAAAGTTTGAAATAATGGTTAAAATCTTTTAAAATAATTTTTAAAAGGAGGTAAGCTCCAGCTGAAATCTGGGCTGACAAATGATTCTTAATTACTGGGGTATGTAAAACATGTAGAATCCTAAATACTCTGAAAATTCAGTTCATGTAGTTCATTCTGGTTTTCAGAATTACTTGAGTATTCTTTTAAAATGTCCATTTGTGGGCACCATTCTCAAAGGCTCTGATTTACGGATCAGTTGTATCTGATGGAATCAACCCACAAATCAGAGTCTGAATATCAGCTATTTATTCAGAGCTCTTCATCATACAGATGAGGAAACTGAGGTGTTCTGGCAACTGGGGTGGGAGAAACTTCAATTAGAGCAGATGTTTAAGAGATCATGCAGGGAGAGGTTGAAGACCTAATTCCTAACCTCTTAGGTCTCCGGGGGGCCTCCTACTATGGACAGAGAGGAGAGGGAGAATCTAGGTGAGTAATTCGGGTGGGGTCCTGACTCGTCACATTGTAAACTAGTCTGAAGTTAGATTGCTTCTGAGCCTATAGAAATATCTTTTGCCTTTGCTGAAAATGCAATTGGGCAATGTTTAATGTCTTTTAAAATGTATATTCCTAGAAGTGCTTCCAGCTTGCACTTCTCTTACTGAATGAAGAGAGTGTGGAAGGAGACAGGAACGGATCCCCTCCAGACTGGAGAATATGCTCATAAAACTTCTTCTGAACTTCCTTTATTGAAAACTTACAAGATCTCTACAAGCCTGGAAGTCTGATCTTCACGGCTCTGGCTCTCACTTACCGGTAAGGTGCCTGGCAGAATACAGATGCTCAGACAGTAAATGCTCTCAGAATTATGCTCCCTCTGGTTGGTTGCAGCTCCTCTGCTCAGGCTGGCTTTTCCTGGTGACAGGCTCTAATGCTGGCTTGGAGAAAGTCCTGATCTCTGCTCTCCCTCAGTTGTGAGTGCAGCAGTCAGCGCCTTCTGTCAGAATTGAGGAAGTCTTGTGACTCTAAGACTCAGTACTACAGACAGCCTAGTGGGAGGACTTGGTGATGATGACTTAATGAAACAGAAACACTGTGGGTTAAGCTTTTCTCTGAAAAACCCCCTCCTGTGGTGACTAGTATGGGTCATGTCCCCAGGAAGGTCCCCGAGGAAGGGGAGGGTGTTCTAGGGTCCTGAGGCCTGACTCTACTTCTAGAATTGGTTATTGATCTAGTGTCAATGGCTTTTTACCCCCTAGGGATTATTTTTTCACCCTGTATAAAATAAATTCCGAGAGTCTCCTGACTCAGAACATAGGACAAGATTAGCTATTCTGAACAGCTGTCCAGTGTCTGGCCATCCCTTGGGGTCCAATCTGACAGAAAAATCCAGAAGCACAGTCTCACCTGAGAAAGGAATTTCTTCTCAGCGATGGAGGGACTTGAAAGTAGCCGGCCTGTGGAGCATGAGTCCCTTCACACAATTCCTGGTCAGCCGTGTGAGGACCGAGTCTGGTCACCTGTGTTGATGTCACCAACTCTAGTTTTTCCGTCTTCTCTCAAGATGGTCATGAGAACGAGGTCAGCAAAAGAGCCAGCTGTGTCATGGACAGGCTACAAAAGGACTGGACCTAGGACTGGTCAGATCACCAACCTAAACCACATAAACTTTCTGGAGTTGACTGTCCCTATGTGTGGGAAGGAGGGCTGTCCTGAGCCCTAGTCTACTGTCTGGGACCTGCTTTTTCATCTCTTTCTTTCGGTCCACTTTTTTCAGGTAGAGAAGAGACTCAGCCTCCACTATTTCCCATTCTTTTTTTCAGGTACAGAGTCTCTCGAATGTCTGACACGCTAGTTGTTTCCATTCAGCTTTGTTGAAGGCAGGTGTCTCTCGTTCTGCCACTAGATCAGAAGGTCCAGGACTAGCATGACACAAGTTTGGTGTCCAGGGCACACCATGTAAGGAGGCAATCACCGCCAAGTTCACTCAAGTGCCAACCCTACAGGTGAGTGACGCTGAGGGTGAAGACTGCTTTAAGACTGAGGTGTATATGGCTCCTCACTAGCCTCACCCTAGTCCAAGCCATGTAGATCAGTCTTGACCAAGACTTTGATACCCAACATGTACTGCTCATGAAGATGCTTTCAGTGCCTCTTGCACAGATCCTCACCATTCAGGGTTCTCATGCATGCATGTGGCATCTTCCTTCAACCACTTGTAACTCTTTGCCTGAGGGATTACCTGGTTACCAGAGGATGCTTGGCTCTTGCATGGAGCAGCCTGAAGTCATCAGAGAGCTAATGTCCCCAGGAGCAGACCTCAATCCATGACAGTTAGAAGTTAGTGGATAAATACTCCAATTTCCTTGCTTATTAAATTGTCCACTGCCCACCAAATGAGATTACTCTGAGATGTGTTCTGTGCCAATTGCTGAGGTCCCCAGCAGGACAGAGACCCAGATGTCTATGTTGGGAACCCCTCCATCATTGTCTACAGGGGTTATATGCTGCTCAGTACAACTTGGGTTGGCTCCTTTCCCTTCCCTGCCTTACATTCCCACATCCCTACTAGTGCTTTCTAGGATCTCCTTCCTATCCAGAAGTAACTGGTTCCATTTCCCCCAGCATTCCTATTAGCTTTTGATTATTTGCCATTGTCTCTGGGTTTGATCCCCTGTCATTCAGACTTGCCATCCGTTGTGGAAACCTATCTAAGGCCAGAAGCCCTGAGACTCTTGGGTGTCAGAACTATCCGGGACTCCTTCTTCTCCTCCCTGCCTCCACTCTTCCTTCTTTCCCTTTCAGAGTTACATGTTCATTGTTTTCTTCTCTACCCTTATAAATCCAGTAAAAATGACCTAGAATGAAAACATCCTTCCTGAGCAGTTCAACCCTTCTGGGATCATTGGCATGGGCAGAGCTCAACTATTAGCATCCCCAGGGCCACAAAGGAATAAGAATGATCCAAATATCATCTCAGGAGAAGAGGTTATAGGGAAATAACTTCTTCAATGAAATACTTACTATCTGAAAGACATTGGCCCCACTATGCCCCAGCATTTAGAAGCACTATTTCAGCGTCATATAGATCCTAGCTTCTTTTTTGTGGGGGAGATGAAGGTTGTGGCGATCAAGATTTACTTGTTAGAAGTATCAGCCAAGCAGGTGTTATCCAGGATTCAGTCTCACAGGACAAGAACCAGGCAAGCTTCCTAGTTTGACAGAATAACATAAAAGGAGATGGAAATTTATAAGCCAAATCAGAAGTTAAAATGCTATGTGTTTCATCTTCCAGTGTTATGTACAATGGGACACTGAAGTCAAAGATAGAGAATAAAAGTTCTGAGTGAGAGAGATGCAAACATTAACACAAACCTAGACTTAAGTGAGAACCTAGGATGAATTTCAACTAATAAAAGACAAAGAAAGGACTCTGGTATGGGTATATTTGAAGAAATACCAGCATGACATTAAAGACAAATGAATGGGGAGAAACACTCAGAGAAAATGTGTAGGACATGAAGAAAAAAGGACTGAGAATAGAATTTCAATTACCTTATAATTCTGGAACCACCAAGGGGAAAACAGTGCAAATGTTCAAAAAGTGGGACGATAGCTGAAAATTGTGTTTCTATTAAAGACAAGCTGCAGAAGGTTTGAAAAAGAAAAAAAATCAATTAAAATGAGGGATTTTTTTTGCTTCTGGTTAAGTTGGAGAAAGATTCAAAAGCGCTCAGTGTCCACACTGACAAGAAGAATTGGACAGAATAAAAACATACTTCTCTAAAAGGAAATCCTCCTACACTGCTGGTGGGAATGTAGTTTGGTGAAGCCATTATGGAAAATAGTATGGAGATTCCTCAAATAACTAAAAATGGACTTACCACATGATCCATCAATCCCACTCCTGGGCATATATCTGGAGAGAACTCTAATTCAAAAAGATACATGCACCCCAATGTTCACAGTATCACGATTTACAGAAGCCAAGACATGGAAACCACCTAAATATCCATTGACAGATGACTGGATAAAGATGTTGTGGTATATTTATACAATGGAATACTACTCAGCCATAAAAAATAATAAAATAATGCCATTTTCAGTAACATGAATGGACCTGTCATTCTAAGTGAAGTAAAAGCCAGAAAGAGAAAGAAAAAAAACCATATGATATCACTTATATGTGGAATCTAAAAAAAAAAAGACACAAATGAACTTATCTACAAAACAGAAACAGACTCACATTGAAAACAAACTTATGGTTACCAAGGGGTAAATGGGGTGGGAAGGGATAAATTGAGAGATTGAGAAGACATTGTTAAAAACAGGCAATAAAATAGAACAGAGAAAACATAAAGGAGAAAAATCAAAGTTAGAGTTTCATAAAATTTAATAAAATTAAACCTCTAGCCAGGCTGATGAAACAAAAAGAAATAATCACAAGTTACCAATATCAAAATTCAAAGAGGAATGATCACTATTGTTCTTGTATTTATTAAAGAGATAATAAAAATATTTTATGTTTCTGCAAATAAATTCAACAATTTAAATATAATGGAAAAATCCCTTGAAAAGTACAGCTTACCAAGATAAGCATAAGAAGAAATAAAAAATCACAACAGCCAATAGCCTTATATATGTGGTTAAAAAAAGAATTCGTAATATTAGTTTCCTAGGAAAGGCTTAATTTAATATGTGTTTGCGTTTGGGAATCAGAGAGCTCAGAATCTGCTCTTTAACTTTATCAACAACCCAAGGTTGAGTTTCTTGATCTCAAGATTGATGTAGGCATTTATTTTGGGGCAGCTCTGCCTTCCGTGTTTGCCTGTCCTCATGGCTCTCAACTCCCCTTTTAGCTTCACATCATTTTTAGGTGGATTGTTTGCTTCATCTTTGGAGTTTTCTTTATTTTCTAGTGAGCTTGTCAATCATAGAGATTTTGTTTACTTTTAATTAATTCAACTTCTATTTGCATTTAATGATGCTTCAGGAGATCCAGTCTGCCATCTTGTATGGAGTGTAAAGCCTCTAGGTATGTTTCAATGCTAACTGTGACTGGGGGCCAGGGATGAAAGCTGGCTGAGCCTCTTTCAGTGGTAAGCAAATTTGATGCACATAAAACAGACTACTGATGTGTGAGTGTATCTGTGTGTGATTGTTGAGCATGAATTTGTTGTGTTACAAAAATTAGCCGTGCGTCCACTTACCATCTGCTGAGGATAAAACCATAGAACAGAATTAGAGATGTGACCTCAGGAACTTTACAGTTTACTTATTATTGTTATTTTGTTATAGTTACTAGAAATTTTATTATTATTTTTGTTGTATTCAGTAGAAATAGTAGTAGTATAAAGAAGAAAAGGGGTTTTCAGGAACATAACACTGATTTTAGAGATTTGCAAATGAGAGGAAGTTTACGCTTATAACTTTCAAAAGATTTTGACATTATATTTCAAAACAAACAATAACTTAAAATAATTTGGTTCATCAACAAATAGGATGATGTTAAGATTTAAAGACAACAGAATCGCAAACATGTACTCAGGCACCGTTTTTCACCCCCTTTACAACAGTGAGTAAGGAATTACTATCTGTAACTATAATCTATGAGTCTTGCAGTCCAGTTGCCTGGTTTTTCTAAAAATTATCATTAATTTGGGGGGTATAATTAACAGTAAGCCGCAGAACAAATTGCATATATGAAAGGGTAAACGATAAAAGAAATTGCACATTCTGTGCAATACACAGAAGAACTGAATTAACAATTTGACAAACACCTGAATACACAATAAAATACACAATAAAATATACATTACTGTTTTGACTAGGGCTTTTCTTAGGCAATTTGCTTTGGCCATGGTTGTGCAACAGCTCAGAATTTCCACATACTTTATAAAGCTCCCTTTGAAATCTTTTAATCTATTCTCTGACTGCAGAGGTCCAGATTGTGACCCAGTCACTAGACTATACAGCCTGTTGGTATAGTGGTCACCCCTTTTCGCCATCACGGAGCTCTCAATCAAGTCCATCAGCTCCTTCACTTGGTCATCCCGATTGCTCCCTTCAGCACGGTTATTAAAGGTACACACTCGCCCCCAACATGCGGCCACCAGCGTGCTTAAGGCTTTGTTATTGGAGCCATGGATGTAATCCATCAAGGAGTCTCCCTTGAGGTCTTCCTTGCTGGTGAAGAGGACAGTTGTGTGTCTCATAGCATCCTCTCCAAAGATCTCCTTCACCCTCTGCACAGCCTGCTGATCTTTCGTGGTGAAGCGGCCCAGCTGTGTCACCAGGAGCAGCACGTGGGGTCCTGGTGCAGAGAGTAGGCAGCACCTCTGTACCTCTTTGTACAGAGAATCACAGTGGTACTTCTCAGAAAACATATCTGGTGTGTCAATAATGACCATCTCTCTCTCCCCCCAGCTTTCCCGACTTTTACTGCAAGTCTTAGTCAAGGACTGGGCACTCAGCCTGGACTCAAATGCCTGCTTCCCAAGGATGCTGTTCCCTGTAGCACTTTTGCCAGTCCCTGTTTTGCCCACCAGAATGATTCTCAGCTCTGATCCTCTGGTGTGTGGAGCATGTTGACTCTTGGTAGATGGTCCTATTAAGAGCAAGTGTACTTTGTTATTACCATACTGATCATACCAATGGAATATTTGTAATGATAATGAAAGATCTGGGAAAAGATACTCTGACAATGTATTAATGGAATAGAAGCTAACTCTATTATCAGATAAAATAATGATTTTTAAGACATCTAGAATTCTCTAGGTCTGTGGGCACTGCCCTTTTAGGAGCCTAGAAAAACATACTTGGGGGATGAGATAGACTTGGAAACATATCTTATTACTTAAAGGTTGCCAATACCACTCAGTTCTGGCCCTGTAAAGGACAAGTTTTCTGAGGATCAGAGATGGGTAGCCAAGACTGGGTTCCGTCTCCAGGTGGGATAAGTAACCTGCCTCTGTTCCAAAGAGAGATGACTCCTCTGCCCTTGGCTGGGCGGAAGTGTGGTCATGACCACCAATGAAACGGCTGGACCAGGGAAGTGTTGGAATGAGCAGTGTGAAATCATTCTGTCTAATGAAGAAACAGCTGATAGCTTATACTTTGCTTGGAGAGGGTAGCATGATTTTTATATAAAATAGGCCCAGAATATGGTAAAACTGGTGCACACATGTAGTCACTTTCTTACCAGACTGACTGCATTCATTTTGGCCCATTGCTGTTCCTAAGGCACAGAGAGAACAGAGACCAATTAAAAAATATATTATTATCATTATTATTATTATGTTAGGGGCAAATAACTCTATAACTTTATTTTAAACTTTATTTATATTTAAAATTTTTATTCAAGTGTAGTTGATTTACAATGTTAGTTTCAGGTATACAGCAAAGTGATTCAGTTATATATATACATACACATATATATTTTCTTTTCAGATTTTTTCTGTTACATGAAAAATGATTTTTTAAAATTGAAGTATAGTCAGTTTACAATGTTGTGTCAATTTCTGGTGTATAGTACAATGTTTCAGTCATACATGAATATACATATGTTTTCATATTCTTTTTCAACATAAGCTACTACAAATATTGAATACAGTTCCCTGTGCCATACAGCATAAAACTTATTTATCTATTTCATATATACCAGTCAGTATCTGCAAATCTCGAACTCCCAATGTATCCCTTCCCACCCCCTTCCCCGCTTGTAACCATAAGTTTGTTTTCTGTCCGTTTCTGTTTTACATATAAGTTCATTTTTTTTTTTTTAGATTCCACATGTGAGTGATATAGTATGGTATTTTTTTTTCTCTTTCTGGCTTACTTCACTTAGAGTGACATTCTCCAGGGCCATCCATGTTACTGCAAATGGCATTATAAAAATGATTATATTTTAGTTCTGACTCATGAAAGACCCTTATATTTCCAGAGCACATTCACAGTCCTGCTTCGCTTGCTTACAGGAAGCTGACGAGATGGGGGAATGAGGATTACTATCTCTATTTTACAGAGAAATTGAATCACTTGCTCAGCATCAACCCAGTGAGTCAGAAAGTAGGCTTCATTTGTCAGCTACACCTACTTCTTATTTCCATACCCACCTCATCTAATTTTTTTCCTTCCTTCTCAGGACTCTCCTGCCCCTTCTCTTGCTTTCCTTGGCCACACACCTCTGCTTTCCTCATGTCCTTTCCAGGTCTGCCTTGGGTCCGAGGTCCAGACACCTCTTTCCTTTGCTCCTTCCCCTCCTCTTCCCATCTTTCCTTCTCCCTGTCTCCAACCCTCCTCCCTTCATTCCGAGTCCTTACCCAAGAGACACAAGGAAGTAAGAACATGACTCTGGAAAAGTACATTATCCTTTAATCCAGAAACACACTTCAGTGGATCCATTCATTACTTGAATTTTCACTCATTCCTCAATCATGAAGAAGTCTTACCGTTTAGTTCTGTTTACTATGCAGAGAGAAGTATCTTAAAACCACGGCCTCAACCAAAGACACAAGGCACTGAAATATGACCATGTATTGATCGAATTCTTCACAGTTAGCATTTTTACTGGCTCTATGCTAAGGAAATTCTCTTTGTGAGTAAACTAAATTACATGAAGTTTACATTTCCCATAAACTGGCTTCACTTAAGTAGAAAGTCATCACTCTAAATTATTCCCCTTAAAATAGGGCACATTTGTTTCAGAAAATTATTTTTTCGGGCTTAGTCAGAGAACTGGAAATCAAGACTGCAGAACTTCTTGTGAATGTGGGCTTACCTGATTTACTGTCGAAAGGAACAGATGGCTTCCTATTGAAACCTGTGACTTGCCAACTCTGCCCCGAAGAGAAAACAAAAAACAAAACACACAAAACAAACACCTAGTCTGCCTTCTTCCTCTCTTCAATCTCCACCGAGCTTCCCCACTGCAAAAGAGCCCCACCACATGCCTGTGTCTGAAACTCTCGTTTAAAAAAATAAACAGTTAAAGTGGGAAAACTTAATCAAGAGTTGTTTGTTTACGTGTGGACTGCCTTTTCTAGGCAATAGTGAAAAACCAGTGTTTAAATTCTTTAAACTAGACAGGAAAGCAAGGGCTGCTGGGGCTGCTGGTAGATCTGATTTCTTTCTCCCTGGGCTGTGTCCTCACAGTTTCGGGTTTGCCTGGGTACAAACCTCCCTCTTCCCCCACCCGCAGGGGAAATTACACCTCATGCACACTGGTAGCAGTGACTGTTCTCAAGACTAAAGGCCAATGCTGCTGTGGGGGCAGAAAGAGCGGGGGCGGGGGGCGCACAGCACAGGGAGCTGTGCAGGAAGGGGGAGGGTACAGAAAGAGGAACCCAGGAGATACTCGTGTTGTCTGAGTCTGTGAGGAACAGTCACGATCACGAACGCATTTTGAAATAACTCGCTTATGACTTCCCTGCCTTCCCTTCCGGTCCAGCTCTGCAGTGTCAGGGAAGCACCTCTGGGGAGCAATGATCAGGGCAGTGGCTACAATAACAATCTGAGCGCCACATTAAGGAAGAATGACCCAAAGAGTTAAAGTTGAACTCACTCAAACGCTCCTTTTCCTTATTTATGTGACATTCCCCAGAGCCGGGGAGAGAGGATATGGGACTTAGATTGCCTTTAAATATCCCATTTGAATTCTTCCAGAACCGTTACTGCTGCAGTCTCCTGCTTAATATAAGTAATCTCTTCCTAAAAACAAAACATTCTGTCAAAACACTAACAAGACCTATTTCCTATGGTTTTATATGAAAACAAATATAATGCAATATCAAACCCAAAGCCCATCAATTTTCTAAATCACATATAAAATTCAGTAAAGCACCTATATAAAAACATTTTTAATAAAATATTTAAAATATTGTTTTTTAATCCCCCAGATATTTTTGGTTTACAAAAGAGAGTTATTGGAGAATGTAAGTATCCTGACAAATAGTTCCATTTTAAAAATGAGCAAAGGATCTGAATAGATTTTTTCCAAAGAAGACAGGCATATAGCCAACAGGTACATGAAAAGTTGCTCAACATCACTAATTATCAAGGAAAGACCAACCAAAATCACAATGAGATATCACCTCACATCTTTTAGGATGACTGTTATCAAAAAGACAAGTATTGGTGAGGATGGAGAGGATTCCAATGTTGGTGGGAATGTAAGTTAGGAAAGCCACTATGAAAAATGGTATGGAGGCACCTAAAAAAAAATTAAAAGTAGAACTACTGAATGATCTAGCAATCCTCCTTTCTGGGTAGATATCCAAAGGAAACAAGTCAGGATTTTTGAGGTGATATCTGCTCTCCCATATCCATTGCAGCATTATTCACTAGCCAAGATATGAAAAAAAAACTAAGTGTCCATCAATGGATTAATGGAAAAAGAAGAGGTATAAGCTGTATAGACTAGAATATTATTCAGCCATGAGAAAGGAGGAAATTCTGTTATTTATGACTATGTGGATGAAACTTAGAGCATTATGCTAAGTGAAATAAGTCAGACAGAAAAAAACAAATGCTCCACATATAAACTCACTTATATGTGGAGTCTAAAAAAAGAAAGTGGAACTCTTTAGAGCTTAGAGAGTATAATGGTGATTACCAGGGGCTGGAGGTTGAGGGAGATGGGGAGATGCTGGTCAAAGAATAAAAACCTTCAGTTATAGGATAAGTAGGTTCTGGGGATTCAATGTACAGCATGGTGATGCTAATGATAATACTGCATTGTGTATCTGAAAGTTGCTAAAACAGCAGATCTTGGTCATTCTCACCACATACACAAATAAAGTAACTGTGCGGGATAAAAGATGTGTTAATTAACGTGATTGTGATCATCATTTCACAAAGTATACATATATCAAATCATCACATTGGACACTTTAAAAATACGCAGTTTTATTTGTCAACTACATCTCAATAAAACTGGAGGAAAGAATTAAAAATTAAAAAATTAAAAATAAATACAGACAGCAAGTGAGT